CCTCCATATACTATAATATGCTCAGCATTAAAATTTCATAGGCAGCGAAGTTCATCTAGTTTGTTATTTTAATGTTACATAAATCCCGAGAAATTTGATCTGTTTAGGGCTTTAACTCAGGGTTCTTTGAGTTTTTCTTTTATATATCCTTAATCCATACATGGTTTAGGGTTCATGTAGAAATCCAAGATATTCCAACAAGTATTTTTTAAGAAAAGTCCAAGGTGGCTACTTACCTCTTCATCTGGGTTCGGGACTTCCGTTCTTGAGCTTTCGGTTTCCGAATTATTTTAAATTATCTTTACTAGATTCATCTTTGAGTCTAGTTTCAGTAACCATAAAGAAATTAATGAAAACTGGTCTGAAAGGGATCCAAATTGATCAAAAAGTGTTAGAAAGGTCAACATATGGCTACCTTTGACTTTTATTGTTCAAAGTTTTACCTTTGACTTTGTTCTTCATCTTCTTCATGGGTGGCTGGAAAAATCACAATTTTTCCTTATCATATTCCTCTCGTTTTTCCTTTGTACTGCTCTATATACACCTCTAATGGGCTAAATTTCTCCACGAAACGTTTAGATAAAGTTTCAAGGAAGAAGTAGGGGCAATTTCATACCTTATCATGGTCTGTAACTTGAGTTATAACCTTCCAAAGTTCGCCAGAAAACATGTTTCTCACCTTTTTTCGGGACAACCGATTCTAGAGCTTTTTATTTCCTGATTCCTTCACGAAACTTGTTGGAAATCCCATATGGAATGTGTAGAAGTTGGTAGGATGGAAAATGATTAACCATAACCCTCGAAGAAGAAATCTGAGGAAGAAAATTCTATAATCTAAAAGCTTTAAACTCGAATTTTAGAAATCATCACTTGATTCTTGTCTTGAAATATTATCCATAACTTCGTATTTATAGATCAAGCTTGCACAGTCATTGATTGTTCTAGAATTGTGGTTCATTTTCTCGTTTTTTATTTATCTAAAATTAAGTAAAAAATATCTAAAACGATGAAGGTGCTACCGACATTTGTTTTCAACTTAAGCCGTTGGATCTACCGAACCTTTAGTCTTGTTAAACATATCCAAACAGCAGCTCAATCCAACAATTAGATTTGAATATACAATTGATTTTCTTTTGTAGGATGGTTCTGGAACCAAATCTGGTTGTAGATTTTCTTTAATTACAGTTTTGTAATTAAGTGGAACTTTAGGGGTATTTTGGTAATTTGTCACATTCGGAATATTTTATTATTATTTGATTCATAAGCATCATAAACAAAACTTTAAACCAAACCACCCCATCTAGATCAGCTAAATAAGGTTCATTTGAAATAGTTCTTGTTTTCTTTTATTAAATGACGGAACAATTTGTTAACTATTTGAAAACCACGTTTATTATTCTTAGTAATCCAAAATGAATTAGAATTTTGGAAACTCCTCATTCTCAATTTGTTTTAAACCATAATGAACCTTTAAATTGTTATTTTACCATCTATGATCGAGTTGTGAAATTCCTTATTATGGTAAGTCCGTATTTCCCTACTCTAATATGTCATTTCTCAATGAAAATGTATTACCTTATTATTTATGACATATTGTAAAGTGCCTTTTTGTATCATATATTTGTATTTTCATGTCCTTATATAAACCCAACATTTTCCATTAATTTCTCTCAAAATTGGGAACTTAAATAAATGGGTCTACTACATTGTGACTGTCTTCTAATAACAATTGGTTGTGAACTTGATTCGATGGACCTCCCTGTATTTTACATTGTGTTAGCATTTTTTAATACTGTCACAGTCGTACAATTTCAACCATACAATGTCACGATTTTGACACAATCCTGAAAAACCTTTTTTTTGCTAGATATTATGGCTTCATTAGACTTTAGACGATGTTCGTCACTAACTGAACATGACTTGTATAGAAACTGAACTTTGTTCAATCACGCATGTAGCAACTCTAACTGACTTGCCTCTACTCTAGGCCAAGCTTTGGACGAAAACTAAAGTCGTAGCTGTTCCAAGGTATCAGCTTGTGGACTCCCAAGTCATCATCGTCAGATTTGCAGTGAACAGTGAGCTGATTTTTAGATTTTAGAGCATTTGTTATCTTGACCATAATATTTGGGTTTTGGATTAATGATCCTTCGATGGTAGTGAATTGGTTAGCAAAGAATGATGAAATTAAGAGAGAATGTGCAAGTGTTGAAAATAAACTCATTGTTGAAATCGGAGAGGAAAAGAGATGGGTATGAACACATTTGTGCTTGATTTGTTTCACTTTTTATAGTTGAAAAAGAGTGTAATGGAAGATAACAGTTGATCCGTAATAACCATTACTGTTGTTAAATTGTTTATAATAAAAATAGAATCGTGATTAATAACGTGTTATTTTTTAAATCGAAAAATATATGCTTGAAACTCATTATGGGTTATTGCTCTCTAAAATTTTGAATTAAAAATGTAAAAGTATAATATGGAAATTAATTTTATGTTATGATCGTTCGGGTCCTTCACCTAGTCTTATTTTCGCTCATGTTCTAGACCAACGGGACTTTTATCTAGTCATCATATGTAAGGACCGGGCTGACTCAATACTCCAAAAAGACGAGTAAACTTTCACAAAATAAAACAAGTAGTATTGAAAACATAACATTACTTAAAACAAAATAGTGTTCATACAGGAGTAATTAAAACACAACACAATAGTTAAAACACAAAATATTTCAAAACAAATGGGTTGAAGACGATGGGTGAGGCTTGTCTATGACACCTGCTCCAGAGTCCGCTCCCAACCTCGACTAGCTCCTTATTACCGGAAAAAAAATGCAAAATAAGGAAGGAGTACAAGACTCAGCAAGTAGCCTACTTGTAGGCTCTTAATCGTGTCCTTGATATGCTAGGATACCGCACTCTTTCTTTTCTTTGTTCTTGTTTTTGTTGTAAGTACTTAGTTCTGTTTCTGACTTTGAGTTCTGTTAAGAATGAGAAATAGAATTGGGATCGAGAGTGCAATCTTCATTAATATTCACAACGTTTAAATAGGATACAAGTTACAAACTACTACCTAAAAATAAGGGAAAATATAAACAACTAAATCTTGAGAATAAAATAAAATATAGTACTAATCAAATCATAAAAGAAAAAATATTAACTCATTACGAATATCTAAGATATATTCCACAACTAATTATTATAATATATTCTTCAAATATTGTAGGTTAATACTCCCCCACAAGTTGGGGAGTATATGTCAATCACACCCAACTTGTCTTTAAAAAAAATCAAATTGATGTCTTCCCAAATTTTTAGTGAAAACATCTGACAATCGAATTTTAGTCAAAACATAACATGGTTTGATGATTCCATCTTGTAATTTTTCTCGAACTATATGACAATCTATTTCAATTTATTTCGTACGTTCGTCAAAAACTTGATTGGTTGCTATGTGTAATGCTGCTTGATTATTACAATACAATAATGCTGGTTCGAATAGTGGAACTTTCACGTCTTGAAGAATGTATCTTAACCAAGTTAACTCTAAACAAGTATTTACCATAACTGGATACTCGACTTCTGCTGATGATCTGGACACATTGGTTTGTTTTTTAGACTTCCAAGGAATAATTGAATTTCCAAGGAAAATGCAGAACCCAGAAATTGACCGTCTGGAAGTTCGACAACCACCCCAGTCTGAGTCGCAATATGCTTGTAATCATAAGTTGTTTTCAGATGGTAATACAAGTCCTTCACCAATTGTACCTTTGATGTATCTCAAAACTCAAAGAGCTTCCTCCCAATGTGGTTTTCTTGGTTCATGCATAAATTGACTAAGCATACAAACTGAATACACTACATTAGGCCTAGTAATAGATAAATATATTAATCTGCCAATCAACCGTCTGTATTTACTTGGATCATCAACTTCTCTCCTTCTATTAAAGAAAGTTTCAGATTTTGCTCCATAGGAAATTTTTCTGGACGTGCTCCTGTGTCATGAAGAATATCAATGCCTATTAGTAAATAAAGAGAATATCATACTTCCTTTGCGACATAAAAATTTCTTTTCTAGACCTAGAAAATTCAATGCCTAGGAAATATTTCAAATTCCCTAAATCTTTGATAAGGAATTTCTCGAGTAAACTAGTCTTGAGATGTTGAATTTCTTTGAGATTATTGTCTGTCAACAGAATATCATCAACATAAATAAAAGCTACCATGAAAGAAGTACCTTTACTATTAGTAAATAAAGAGTAATCTGCTTTGAACTAAGCGTAGCCTGCATTTTGTATAGTGGTAGAGAATATGGAGAACCAACTACAAGAAGCCTATTTTAAAGTATAAAGAGATTTATGGAGCCGACATACTGTAATCTCCCCGTGCCGATGAATACCTAGTGGTAAAGATATATAGACTTCCTCGTTTACATTGTCATGGAGAAAGACATTTTGAACATCCAACTGATGAGTGAACCATTTTCGAGTAGGGACAATAGTGAGTAAGCAAACAAAGTGTAGTAAGTTTCGCTGTAGGAGAAAATGTTTCTTTGTAATCAATACCTTCAACTTGAGTGTATCCCTTTACTACCAGTCGAGCTTTATAACATTCAACAGAACCATCAGAGTTGGGTTTAATCTTGTACACCCAACGACAGCCAATAGCTTTATGGCCAGGTGGTAGAGGAATGAGAGAATGCAATTTCATCATTCATAGCCTGCTGCCATAATGGGTCGCCAACTACCTCATCATAGGTTTTAGGTTTTGTATGGGCTGTAATAAGAGCTAGAAAAGCACGTTGAGTAGGAGAAAAATGAGAGAATGAAAGGTAATTGTCATGACCCGATGTTCGAGGTCAAAAACTCGGACCGTGACCCAAAAGACGAAATAAAAAATAAACAAAAAAAGAAAAGAAAGAAAATAAGAGTAAAATAAAAGATAAAAATACCATTCAATTAAAACAAAAGGAAGAGAAGATTTGTAAAATGAAATACAAAAGACTCCAATAGACCGACAAGGGACTGACGCTCCAAAACGACCCCCTCTGTGACCGCACAGCTCTCGAACGCTCCTCCACCTTGACTGGTACCTGAAAAAACAAGGGTAAAAGAAATGAGTATAAAAATTATACTCAGTAAGCCTTCTACTCGTAGGCTCTTATCGCATCCAAATTTTGACAAACTTCCACGGCTTTTTTCTTTGGCTCTAGGACATCTAATTCAGGTCTTAGCTTTTTAGGTCTTGCCCCTTGGAACTTGCCCTTTGGGGCTTCTTTGGTCTTCGTCCTTTCATTTATACCCCTAGAGTTCCTTTATGCTAACCTGTGTTTGACTGGTGCTCTGCGAGTGGCTACCTCGGCATGGCTTTGAGATTACCCGGTGTCTTACCTAGGAAGTGAGCTGTAACCCCATAGTCCCATGGTAAATCCCCCTGTATTTGGGAGGGCTACCTCCCGTATCCCATCCAGCTAAATGGTCAGTTACGACGTGGGTCTCCTTTTTCCCATGCTAAAACAGCTATCGAGCAGTCAAGTCTTGATCAAGAACCCACTGGTCCCCCACGAAGCTATATCACCATTCACACACAAGTAGCCTAAGGGTACTCTAGAGGAGCTTTGTGTGTCGTGGTTGTTTCTTAGGCTCCTAGGAAAGGGTTAAGTCTATACATAGTGACTTGTCACTTTAACACAAATCCCTAGACTTTATCAAACCTGTGGGTCGGTGAGAATTAACTGAGTGTGCACACATCTATCATCCAACATCATCATACAAAATTCATGCAAAGTAAACATACATGCTCAACGAGGCGATAATATCCATCAAGTCCCGGAGCTCAGAGTTCATAAGTTCCCATCCTCCTTTCAGCATGAATTAAACATATACATATAAAGCGAAAGCTTAAAGCATAATTGCAACACTCAGATAATTCTCAAAATACTTCATATAATGCATCCATACTCTTAACAACCAAATTACATACATTCAATCATGGAAAGCTACCACCTAAGGTAATTAAACTAGCATGCATGCATAACCAAGCGACTCCTACAAGTATTTCTTCCTAAAGTTCCGTGTGGTGACTTACCTGATTGACGCGTGTTTTTCGTTGAGCATTTCTATACCAATAGCGTGTCCACAAATACTGATTTTTCTCATTGAAGTCCTATTATATATAAAAATAGGGCCAGAGTTGGAATCGAAAGGGAAATCGAGCAAACAGAAGTCGAACGGGCTGAAAAACAGCACCTCACGCGCGTTCACGTGCCTGGGAAGGTGTTACACGCGCACGGCCACGCGCGCGTACAAACGCGCATGAGGGAGGGAAGACGCGCGTTGAGGTATTGCCATGTGGCACCCGCTGAACGGTCAATCGAGGTCGAGGTCATCGGTTCGAAATCGGAAGGACGCGCTGGAAATCTGAATTCTTTTACGCTGACGCATGGCAACGCGAAGCCGGGTCGGTGATCCAAGTTGCGCAGGCCATCAGTCGCGGACTCGGGTAGTGACTGCCGGCGTTCGAATCCTGCCCGACGCGAAGTATTTCATTGAATTTCTCTGCCAATACATGCTAGACATGTGTCAACCATTTCGGCGATGACCCTCTCTTTTCCTGACATGTGTCCCTTCGCCGTTCGTCTTCTTCCCCACATCTCTGCAATTTTCTAGAAAACCGATTATTTCCTATTTTCTTTGCATTTTCGTATTTCTTTCTATAATTTGGATTAATATGATTTCTACAACTAGATTTATAGACCTCATACTCATCTACATATAGCTATTTTTCTTGTAATTTATTTCTAACCACATTGGTAATAAACTCAGTCCAAAGTTGACAAGAGATATCAATACTCACATCATTGATGGAAAGTTGGAACTCCTCTTTTCGATCCAAATCAATCAGCAATCTTTTCTAGATTAACATACTCGAATTTCGAAATCTAACTCTCAATATTTCTAACAAATCTGAGGAAAATCTGAAAACAACCGTTCAAGAACTTACCTACGGATTTTCTTCGATCCTTGACGGTTTTGGACGATTTGAGAGAATTGTTCTTTCCTGATTCTGTGAAGATTTTATGAAGAAGGCTCGGCCGGAACCGAAATCCTCGTGGCCGACGGTTACCTCACTCTCTCTCTCTAGAGCTTTCCTTCTCTATCTAGAACTTTCCTTCCCGTTCTAGAATTTTCTCTCTCCCTATTTCTATTATTTTCTTTTCAGCCATTTTTCCTTCTATTCCTTTTCCTCTTTATTTTTCTTTTTCTTCTTTTAATCCTATGTTACTAGAAGGGAGGGTATAATGGTCAAATTACCCTCTAGTTGACTTTGACCATATTTCTAATTTTCTATCATTTTTTTAATATTTTTCCTAAGTTCTTCTATTATTTCCAAGTATATTTGTCTGCTACCTCATCTCCAAATTTGGTCTCTAAGACCCTCAACAAAATATTAGAAGTTCAACATAAAAGGAAAAATTAGATTTTAAACTTTCCATTGAGGCTCGGGTCTTATAGTAATCATGAAGGGGATACCTGGTGCTAGTGTTGGGACTTGAGCTAGAGGTTAAATGATTGGCTCCAGAAGACATCTCATAATCATTATGACAAGCTGAAGATTGTTTTATATGAGTAGAACATCGGAGTGGAACTAATGTATCAGATATGATAAGATCAAAATTAGTGGGTGAATCTTGAAAAGGAATAGAAGGCGGAGGAGACGACAAAGTAGTAAGTGAAGGAATAAAATGTGGGGAAGGACTAATATGGATGTTTGAGTAGGATGAATCATGAAGTGATAAAATGGGAGTTAAAAGAGCTAATGTTAAAGTTTGTGAAGTTGATGAAGAAGGAAAATCATCTTCACAAAATTTAACATCACGACTGATAAAGAATTTTTTAGATTGCATGTCATACAATTTGTAACCTTTGTTACCACAAGGATATCCTACGAAAACACAAGGAATTGTCCGAGTTTCAAATTTTTGCTTAGGGTGTACTACAGTTTCATAACACTTACAACCAAAAACTTTAAGATGGTGAAATGTAGGTGGTCCTTTGTAGAGTGCATCAAAGGGTGTCTTGTTAGATAACAATGTTGATGGTGTTTTATTTATAAGATAAACGTAGTTAAAATGCACTCTCCCCAAGAATTAAGCGGAAACTGTGACTGAAAGAGAAGAGACCTAGTTACATTTAGGATATGCCGATTCTTGCGTTCTACGACAACATTTTGTTGTAAAGTATAGACACAAGTCGCTGAAATTCAATGCCACGTGAAGTAAAAAATGGTTGCAAAGATAGGAACTTAGTTCCATTATGTGATCTAACTATCTTGAAAGTAGTATGAAATTGAGTTTGAACGAATTTAAAAAAGTTCATTAACAAATGATGTACTTCTGATTTATGTTGCATAAGAAAAACCCAAGTACATCGTGTAAAATCATCAACAATAGTGAGAAAAAAAACGCAGTGTTGAAATTTTTTGTGGTCTCCAAACATCACAATGTAACATATCAAAGGCAAAATGGGTTGTTATTGAGCTTCTTGGGAAAGACAACCTAGTTTGTTTTGCTAATGGGAAAATACTACAGTTATGAGAAAAAATAGCATTATTAAGATGCAATTGCTCAGCTAGAAATTTAAAACGAGAAAAAGAAGAATGACCTAGGCATAAATGCCACAAATCAGATGACTGAGATACTTGGTGAGCTGAAGATTTGATTGGAGATTGTGAAATATGATAGAGACTTCGAATTGTTTACACGAGCCAATCATCCTCCCCGTAGCCAAGTCCTGCATAACACAAAAATCAGGATAGAGGCGACATAACATTTCAAGTCATTGGTAAGTTTGCTGATGAACATTAGGTATAAATTGAATGAAGTCACACATAAAACGATGTTTAATTTAAGGTCAGAATTAAAGGAAACATTGTCAGTATGTGACACATGTGCTGTCCCTCCATTAGGCAAATTTATTATAGATATGGTGGAAGCCTTTGGTTCTGTCATAATAGAAGCTTTGGATACTATATGATCCGTAGCTCCACTATCGAGAATCCATGGATTAGAACTTTTAGAGTTAATAGATAATGCAAATACTGGAAACAAACCAGCAACATTGATGTTATTGTCAGAATTACCAGAAGGACGATGATTGAGTGCAGATAAGGCTTGTGCTATTTGTTGTAATTGCTTAGAAGAAAAATTTAGGATAGAATTAGGTGAATGTTCTTCTGTATTCAATAGAGAAACATCGGCCATATTTGCAGATGATCGATATCCACGATTGTTGCGTTGATTGACTTGTACTGCCCTTCCAGAATTATTTTGTCTACATAGAACTTCTTTATGTCCCCTTTTATCACAAAATTTACCGTGAAGCTTAAGGATTCAACACTCAACAATTGTATGACCACTTTTATTGCAGTGTTAACATGATTTGTCCTTGGCAAATTTTAAATATGTTGTTTTCTTCTGCATTGCTGATGCAATCGAGAAATTCTCAATAGGTTCAGAAGTTATCAGACGCTGCATCTCTTCTTGTACAAGTAATGAATAGGCTTTGCCTCACATTAGGTAATGGAGTCAAAATCAATATGTTAGATCTCATTGTTTTATAAGACTCATTGAGCCCCATGAGTAGTTGCATCAACTTCTCTTCTTCGTGTTGATCAACACGTATTTGACGTTGGTTATAGGTAAATGGTGTGCGGTGTTAAAATATCATCACTAGCCCAATAGCGTCAAGCCCAATAATTGTACGAGCCCATTGTATATTTATTTTAGATGAGATTTTAGGAAAGAGATCTTGATATTTTAGGAAAAAGATTTACATTTGTTAGGTTTAGATTGCGTAGAGTATACTATAAATACCCCTCGACCCTACCTAGTTTTTCATCCCAAGAAATCATAAGCAATATAAAGTAGTAGTATTCTACAAAGTGTCTTGTATTCTCTTCTCGATTGGTCTTAATAAAGAGTGCGAGTGTTTCCCACAAAGAGTTGTGTTCAACTGTCTTGTATTCTCTTCTCGATTGGTCTTAATAAAGAGTGCGAGTGTTTCTCACAAAGAGTTGTGTTCAACAATCTGGTATCAGAGCGAGGTTTGTATAGGTTGTCTGATCTCTTTGAATTCTTAGTATGCTCTGTGGCTACAGCTCTGTCTGATTTTCTACTTCTGAAATGATTTTTTNGTGAACTTGATTCGATGGACCTCCCTGTATTTTACATTGTGTTAGCATTTTTTAATATTGTCACAGTGGTACAATTTCAACCATACAACGTCACGATTTTGACACAATCATGAAAAACCTTTTTTTTGCATGACATTATGGCTTCATTAGACTTTAGACAATGTTCGTCACTAACTGAACATGACTTGTATAGAAACTAAACTTTGTTCAATCACGCATGTAGCAACTCTAACTGACTTGCCTCTACTCTAGGCCAAGCTTTGGACGAAAACTAAAGTCGTAGCTGTTCTAAGGTATCAGCTTGTGGACTCCCAAGTCATCATCGTCAGATTTGCAGTGAACAGTGAGCTGATTTTTATATTTTAGAGCATTTGTTATCTTGACCATAATATTTGGGTTTTGGATGAATGATCCTTCGATGGTAGTGAATTGGTTAGCAAAGAATGATGAAATTAAGAGAGAATGTGCAAGTGTTGAAAATAAACTCATTGTTGAAATCGGAGAGGAAAAGAGAGGGGTATGAACACATTTGTGCTTGATTTGTTTCACTTTTTATAGTTGAAAAAGAGTGTAATGGAAGATAACAGTTGATCCGTAATAACCATTACTGTTGTTAAATTGTTTATAATAAAAATAGAATCGTGATTGATAACGTGTTATTTTTTAAATCGAAAAATATATGCTTGAAACTCATTATGGTTATTGCTCTCTAAAATTTTGAATTAAAAATGTAAAAGTATAATATGGAAATTAATTTTATGTTATGATCGTTCGGGTCCTTCACCTAGTCTTATTTTCGCTCATGTTCTAGACCAACGGGACTTTTATCTAGTCATCATACGTAAGGACCGGGCTGACTCAACACTCCAAAAAGATGAGTAAACTTTCACGAAATAAAACAAGCAGTATTGAAAACATAACATTACTTAAAACAAAATAGTGTTCATACATGAGTAATTAAAACACAACACAATAGTTAAAACACAAAATATTTCAAAACAAATGGGTTGAAGACGATGGGTGAGGCTTGTCTATGACACCTGCTCCAGAGTCCGCTCCCAACCTCGACTAGCTCCTTATTACCGGAAAAAAAATACAAAATAAGGAAGGAGTACAAGACTCAGCAAGTAGCCTACTTGTAGGCTCTTAATCGTGTCCTTGATATGCTAGGATACCGCACTCT